TAGTTCAGGAAGAAGTTCAACTGACAGCTGTACCGACACAGCAACACTTGCGGCTGTAAGTATTGTCGTATCCACAGCGCCTACATACTTAGTTAGCCACCCACCCTTCTAAAGGGCAATATGTATCAACAAATGGTGGCGAGCATATTTCTATGTACATGTGTATGTTTGTACGACCGAAAAGTAATGTCACTTTAGCGTCGCATTTGCGAGAGGCACACTTTTCACCCCCTGTCATTCAATTTTGCGGCGTCCTTGCTGGCTGACTTTGCGTTTATCCTGTTCGTTCTGCTTCTGCTAGAGCAGAATTTTTAACTGTTGTATTATTATTTACTCTCCAAAGTCTATCAGGTTTACACCCGCCCTTTCTTCCTCCCTTTATAAAACGCGAGGGTGATTTGTGTTATTTCTGCTCTTTCTATGTGTGGTGTGTGTGTGTGTGTGTGTGTGTAACAGTTTTCGAAGTGTCAACTCGGTAAAGTGTACACAATTAGAGCCGCTGCTAGCTGTCACTCTGCTGTTCTGATTCTCACTGTTACTTTTTCCAATCCCCGCTCACTCTCTGCTTAACTTTTCTCTTCTACTTAGTTTTGCTTTCTGTGCAGAAAACGTTTATTATTTGCTATTGTTGTTTGCACAGAACAGCTGCTACCGTTGACAGCTTCGCCATTGCTGTCATTGCTACTTTACGTCGGTCATTCTTAAATCCTTTACGCTCCAGTTATTTGCATAAATGCGCTCTATTCAACTTGCTACACTTGAGGTTTACTTGGCTACTGGGTTTTCGCTCATTTCTTTGCGCTGTATATGCAAATGTTTGAGGGATAAAATGTAGTGTTTGGTCAGCAAATAATTTACGTTGGGTAGCATTTGGAAATTTGCGAACCAGAAATTGAAAATACACTTTCATAAATTGGCTACCGATTTAGGTTAGGTTTGCTTTTCTATGGTAAATTGGGTGAAAGGAAGCAGTATTTGGAGGTTTAGTCAAAATTAAATATGTCAAAAATGTAGAAACTGAAATTTCTAAAAGAGGACTTAAGTTGTTGAACATTATGATTGAAGGACACAATTTTAACTACTAACTGAGTTATTTTTTACTTCATATTGCAAAGGATATTATTTGCAAGTTATTTTGAATTCAATATAGTATTTATGAATATAACAAAAGAAAGTGTGGAAATAAAGTAAGATAATATATCCCTTCTACCTAATTTTTTAACTAAAAATTACTTTATCTTTTTTTTAGCATGTTGCTTTTTTTTCTTCAATTCGCTAGGAAAACTTTTCTTTTTAACGCTGTCAAACGCTGTCAATTGCCACCTCGCATGGCACTCTGCATATTTGGTCAACAGCGAATATGATCGCTCATTTGAAGGTTAACAGTAGCCTAATTACAACTCTAGGCATTCGTAAAATCTATGTAACTGTCATATTACCTACAATTGTCACTCATCTTGTGGTCTGACCAGCACCACCAAACTGTCACAGCAAGCGCGCGCGTAGGTACTTGAACCTTCTCGACAGTTAAACCACAACTTGAAATTAATACTTAAAGTCATGTTTTTTTTTGTTTGTTTCTGTTTACCTATGTAGGTTGCCAAGTAGTAAAAAAAATAGCTGAATATCTATATACACTAGCATGTATGAGTGATGTGTTCACAAAAGTGTATCTACTTGGGTAATGCCAAAGTTGTTGTTATATTTTTTCATAACCGCAAGTGTCATATTTCATAACATTTACAACTAATCAAAAAACGTAAATGGAAAAGTATACTTATGTACGTACAGATATATTTGTAGTAGGTATAAGTAACGTGACCCAACAGGAAATCTTGAACTCTGGGAATCTATCCTAGAATCGAACTGGACATTCAGTCATCCTTACTTTTGAACATTGTCGACAATGGCATACGGATAAAAGTAGAGATCAGAGGCTGTAGACATAACTAATGCAGACGTCTTGGTACAGCCATATCGAATGATGGTAGTAAAGGCCCAGCTTGTTAACTGAATAGTCTACTGTGTGGGAACTTACTGTTGATTGTAGATCTCGTGCTATTTAGATAAGGTTAAGTTAAGGTGACACTCGGTAGGAGCCACATTTGTGAAACATCAAAAAGAAAAAAAGTGTCCGCTATAAAAATGAATCGTTTGCACAAGAAAGATCGACCATATGCTTACAAAAATGTGAACGCCAAGCATTTATTTCTTTATTTATTTGAGGTGTCTTATCAGTATGTTTAACTAACTAACTAACTCTGATCGTCAATATATTATATGGAGCAGCTTTTAAAAGCTTTGTATGGATTAGTCATGACCAAAATATTTCCCGCGGGATGAACTTTTCGAAGCTTTCAATAAACTTTATTTATTTCGACATGCACAGTGTAAGAACTCTCTCTGATCGTCAATATATTATAAGGAGCAGCTTTTTAAATCTTTCTATAGATCAGTCATGACAAAAATATTACCCGCAGTATGAGCTTTTCGAAACTTTTTATAATTTTTGTTTCCTTGGACACACACAGTGTGAAAGGCTCTCTGATCTTCACCGCATTAAAGGCATGCATCCGATCCCTCATTCGTTTTTAATTCCTACATAATAAAATATGTTTTTGTCTTAACTTCTAGCTTTTATATGGTAGCAATTCCAGCAATATTCATGCTGGGTGGGTTTAGGTATTCTGCTAGTTCTAGTTTTGAGGAGATGCTTTTAAAAATTCTTATGAATCTCTAATTTTTAGCACCGTTTTGGTTTTATTCGGTTCTAGTCTTATTAGTCTGAATGCAACACATCACACATCTCTTTTAGTACAGCAAGCAAGATATATGTCTCATCTCTTCGGCTCTTCTACAATCAAGTACTTTAAAAGTTTCATATGTAAAGGAAGTCCAACTTATAGATCGAATTTCGTTTACCAACAGTTGGCCGTCAATGAAATTTAGCATTACCACGCGATATTTCATTATGTTAAGTAGGTCTAGTTTTTTTCATGTCTTAAGGTTATTACTTTGTGATATAAGAAACTTATGACTCAGCTTGCCACAATGGATCGCTCTTTATTCGGTTATAACTTGGGACTCTTCCTGGTCGATATTCAGATAAGTCAGAAATTTATATACGATTTAAAAGCTCACAAGCCGATATTAACTGCTGTGTTAGTTACTGAAATTAAATTTACTGAAACTAATACAATACTTGCTTCATTTTCGGTCGTAGACTGACAAAATTCATGAAAGCAACTCAAGCTTGATCAATAAGCTTTGATTATGTTAGACGTTGTGCTCCTGTCAAGGCTTCACTCGGTATCCACTTCGGCCAAACAATATTAATCTTCTTCTTATACGGCGAAATCACCTAGCTACTCATTCAAGTGATTCACACACACGCTTATAATATCCCCTAAGAACATGTGAGATGTTGACTAACTGTGGAATGAAATTCATGCCCACTCAGCGACTTTAGCGCATACAAAATCCCATTCAAGCGCCTAGAGTAGAAACTTTTTTCCTAAATAGTCTTTACGAAATGCGTTGAGTTAGTTCATCAGTGCTTAGAACCTTTCGACAACAGAACGCTAGGTGCTTACAGGGTTGCATTTCTTTTGCCCATTTCTATCGTAGTGACATTCAAAGTTTGTTAAAAATACTTGCTAAAGGCATGTAATTAGGGTCTAAATATTAGCCGTATGCATCCTTTGCTAGGGTGAAATTTTCCCAGGCTTTCTTAAAATACTCCGTTTATTTGAATATTAAGAGTTTTAACTGTACGATACTTTTAGTCGAGCTTCACGCGAGTATACCTTCTTAATTTTTCAATATCACCACTCCTTGGTCGTACGATTTTTCGAATTAGAACATTTTCCCAATTCTCGTTTTCAAAACGAAAGCTTTACTGAGCATTCTCACTTTGCCCTTCTACATTTTTCCTACTCCCCCATTTTATATTTCAGCTACATTTACCTAGTCACCGTGGCATTGTCAGAATGTTAACACTCTTACGAGCTGTCAAACAGTAAAGTGAACAATTTTCTTAATTTAGTTTCTTCCAATCAACGCGGATACAGCGCGAGACAGCGCGCGCACACATACATATTGCCCCACATATTTGTGTATTTCCTAGCACAAAATAAAAACTTAATGAAAAAACTAGCAAATTCATGCTGAATATTTACTTTTAACGCTCACACAATAAACTGCTAGTAAGCGCCTTTAACCCTCACTCTCCCACCCCCCTAACTACCCCTGCAACTGTGCCTTCTACTATCCATCAACCGCTTTAGACTGTAAATGCAGCCGTTTGTGGCTGTCAAATTTAATAAAAATCACTGATTTTGATTGATGTGGCACAACTGAGCAGCGGCAGCATCATCTGGTCCAGCCAATGCCGCTGTTGAAAGTGAATTTGTATGTACGTCGAAGTGTGTATGTGTGCAAGTGTCATATTGTCACACGCGTCTCTTCGCACTCTTTCCCATTTGTATGCACTGCACATTCTTTGTTTAAATATCCGAGCATATGGTAACTCCATGGCACTAAGGGGTTAAATGCTTGCAACCAATGCTTTGCTAATGTCACCAACTTGCCATAAGCGTTCTTTGTGGACGCACACACCAAAGTGAGCGTTACTAGGTACCCTGAGAACGTCGTACGCCCAAATATCTCTAACTCTGTCTGTTTACATTGAATTGAAACAAATGAAATGGAAGTAGAAAAAGTCATCCACTATACCGTGCTATCTTCGGAAGAGCGCTTGTGTTTTTTCGCGTCGATATTTAATAGGTTTTTGTTGATTTAGGATCAATTGGTTTGTGGACATCCCCTGGGGAGAATTCGCACTAGCCCCGCAAAACTTAGACTAATCGTTTGCGGTTACTAAGAAAACAATAATAACAAATATGTACCTACCACTTTTAAGCACTTACCCCTGCTCTTCCTGTCTGTGGCAAATTTATTAATTTCACTTTACTATTTCTCTTCTTCTCATTGCAGTTATCCTTTGTTTGTTGCAAGCCGCTGATTTGACAACGTGCTGCGCCTGCGGTTTAAGCGGTAATATAACGCGCCTGGAGCGTTGCTTCAGCTCTACATATTCACCACTCAACTAAACTCTCAACTTTAGTCAGCTGTAGCCTTTCGAAAGTAGCTGAAGCTTTCCGTAGCGCAATAACTCGAACTCTATCTACGCTTTCAGCGCAACAGCTGTGGACTTTCACGTACAGCTTAGCGCGACTTACTCGCCCGAGAAGCATTAGCAAACAACATATTCAAATAACATTAAACACACAAAAGTCATGTCTCGCACAATGGCACACAGACACACTGCGACGCGACGGCATCCGCAAGCGTTATGCAATTCAGTCCTCGTCCTCAGCGTCGTGCTCCTGCTACACACACACAACTGCCATGCGGACGGTATGCAGCATTTGGCGGACAGCGGTGGCGGCATTGGCATGGGTCCCCATGCGTTGGATGTGAGTCCCGCGCCGGGCTATGGTCTGCCCGCCATACCAAAAGATCCGAATTCTCGCTGCGAAGAGATCACTATACCAATGTGTCGTGGTATTGGCTATAATATGACGTCCTTTCCGAACGAAATGAATCACGAGACGCAGGACGAAGCTGGTCTGGAAGTGCATCAGTTTTGGCCGCTTGTGGAGATCAAGTGCTCGCCCGATTTGAAATTTTTCCTCTGTTCCATGTACACACCCATCTGCTTGGAAGACTACCACAAACCATTGCCCGTCTGTCGTTCGGTTTGTGAGCGTGCACGCGCTGGTTGTGCGCCCATTATGCAGCAATATAGTTTCCAATGGCCAGAACGCATGGCCTGTGAACATTTGCCGCTGCATGGCGATCCTGAGAATCTCTGCATGGAACAGCCTTCGTATACGGAGTCGGGCAGTGGTGGTGCAGGCGGTTCGTCAGGCAGCGGTTCTGGCGGCAGTGGTGGTAGTGGCGGCGGTGGTAAACGCAAGCAGTCTGGTTCTGGTGGTTCGGGTTCACAGAAATGCAAAGGTGGCAAAAATTCAAAAAACTGCCAAAATTCCCTAGGAGAAAGAACAAACGCAAAGGATTGCACGTGCTCGTGTCTCAAACCACTCCTGCTCCTGGGGAAGGAAGCGCTGATGCAGCCACCACACATGCACTACCCATGGTACATGAATTCAACTGTACAAAGAATCGCCGGCGTTCCAAATTGCGCGATTCCCTGCAAGGGCCCGTTCTTCACAAACGACGAAAAGGACTTCGCCGGCATATGGATAGCCCTGTGGTCGGGTCTATGCTTCTGCAGCACACTCATGACGCTAACCACGTTCATCATCGACACCGAAAGGTTTAAGTACCCCGAGCGACCGATAGTCTTTCTCTCCGCCTGCTACTTTATGGTCGCTGTCGGTTATCTATCGAAAAATTTTCTGCAGAATGAAGAAATCGCTTGCGACGGACGTTACCTGCGGGAGAGTTCGACCGGACCACACTCATGTACGATGGTTTTCCTACTCACGTATTTTTTCGGCATGGCATCATCGATTTGGTGGGTTGTACTCAGCTTTACCTGGTTTCTGGCCGCGGGCCTCAAGTGGGGCAATGAAGCCATCACCAAGCACTCGCAATATTTTCATTTGGCCGCCTGGCTCATACCCACTGTGCAATCGGTGGCCGTGTTGCTGCTTTCAGCTGTTGATGGTGATCCCATACTCGGCATCTGCTATGTTGGCAATCTCAATCCGGATCATCTAAAGACATTCGTGCTGGCACCGCTCTTTGTATACCTCGTCATCGGCACCACCTTTCTGATGGCTGGCTTCGTTTCACTTTTCCGCATACGTTCCGTAATCAAGCAACAAGGCGGCGTCGGCGCCGGCGTTAAGGCGGACAAATTGGAAAAGCTTATGATACGTATTGGTATCTTTTCCGTCCTCTACACCGTCCCCGCAACCATCGTAATCGGATGCTACCTGTATGAAGCCGCCTACTTCGAAGACTGGATCAAAGCGCTCGCATGCCCGTGTGCCCAGGTGAAAGGACCTGGCAAGAAACCACTATACTCAGTGCTTATGCTCAAGTACTTTATGGCATTGGCAGTTGGCATTACATCGGGCGTTTGGATCTGGTCTGGTAAGACGTTGGAAAGTTGGCGTCGCTTTTGGCGTCGACTATTCGGCGCACCTGATCGCACCGGCGCCAATCAGGCGCTCATTAAACCGCGACCGCCCATACCGCATCCGTATGCGGGCTCTGGCATGGGTATGCCCGTCGGCTCCGCGGCTGGTTCGCTGCTCGCCACACCATATACACAGGCGGGCGGCGCATCGGTGGCTTCCACCAGTCACCACCATTTGCACCATCATGTTCTTAAGCAACCGGCTGCGAGCCACGTATGACATGGAGAGTCAGGCGGAGCTTCAACCATGGGCGGTGGCGTTGGTGGTGGCGGCGGCGGCGGCAGTACAATTGGCGGTGGCAGCGTGCTGGGCGGACACGGTACTCTGATGAGCACAGCGGGTATGAGCAATAGTACGGTTGGCGGCGGTGTTGGTGTTGGGGCTCCTCCTGGCAGTATGTTGCACGGTGGCGGTGGCGGTGGCATCGGCGTCGGAACGCCTGGTAATATGAGTATGCCTGGCGTTTATGGCAATGGCAATGGCGGCGGTGGTATTGGTGGTCCAATGGGACCAGGTGGAGGCAATGGCGGTGGTGGAAATGGCCCAAGTACGGCACCCGGTTCGGTGATCGATTCACGCGCGGTGTCCGTGGTCGTTACGTTGCCCGGTGGGCCGGGCGCGCAACACCCCGGGCAGGCGCTGAGCGACTACGGTCCTATATAGTTAATGGTACGACCAGATACAGCGCACTGGGTGTCCACGAGCAGTTTCTCGCAGCTGTAAATGAGCGCAACTGTGTAAAGATTGTAGCATAACGGTAGGGAGGTAGACATAGAGCGTGAAAGAATAAAGTTAAGGGTGAAAAGAGCATTTATAATGGGTGAGCATGAGAGGATTAGTATACGACAAACGCGCTTTTGTATGTGCAGCAGGTGTTGCGCTCATTTACAGTGTTGCATTTTTTGAGCTTTAAAGCTGTTGAAAAGTTTAAGCATGCAGTGAAAAGTTGCAACAAACAAGTCGCCATATTACTTTCTTCAATTTTATAGTTGTAAAAAATATATTTAAAAAATAAAACGAATGATTATTGCAATAAAAAGAGTTTGTATTAAAGTAATAAACTTCATACTTATAAGCAAGCTAAACTTCATAATTCTAGTCCATTTTCAATGAAAGCAAAAAAAAATTAAAACAAAAAAAACACTTTAATACAAAAAAAATTTAATTAGCAGACAACAACAAAGCACAATTTCTATAAAATATCACTAAACGAATTCAAAAAGAAATAGTCAATAGCTTATAAACAGACATAAACTTGCTACACCTTTTTCTATCAATAAATATTGTGAAAATATTTAAAGCAAAATAATGCTAAAATAGTGAATAGAGTGTTAAAAATAGGAAAAAAGAGATACGAAAAGCACATCAAATGCGCGCGCCAGAGATTTTTCTATCAAACATTTTTTTTTTGTAAACGCATATTTATTTCACATTTTCCTAATTCGTTTTTTCAACTCTCTACTCAAATAGACTGATTTATAATAATATTTAAAAGAAGATAAGTATATTTCACACTAACAAAGCGATATACAATATTTTAAATGTACTATAGATTATGAAAAACATAAAACGAATGAAAAAATGTTAATGAAATGCGTACGAACAAAACAGACAAAAGGTAGTAAAAAGCAGTAAAAAAAAAACGCTTTTGTTTCTTTCATCTGCCCAACAGGGGCGAGGGGGTTAAGAAATATTGCCACTGCCAAAAACGCCAACGCCATATTGCATTACAAAAATAATAATAATAATAAATACCTACATATACTACTATACACGAATGCACAGAAACACATGTAAAATTTCTAATAAAAAAAATAATCGAATGCAATTGCAAATGGAGGAGGTTAAAAAGTAGAATGCAATTAAAAGCATTTGTAAAATATTATTTATGTTTATTTGTAGTTTTTAAAGTGATTGTATGTAGCGTTTGTAATTATGCGTTAAAACAGAAAAAAAGCTCTCAATTACTATATTGAGAAATCAATGATAAAATACTATATATAATTGAAGTAAATATATAAAAAAAAAACTGTATAAATGCATTTATTACAAAAACATTATTATTAGTAATGAAAAACAAAATGCCAACGAATCAGAGCAAATACGAAATACCCAAATGTAAATACTGAATTATTAATTTAATAGAATTTTATTTAAAACATAGAATATTATTTAAGTGTTTATTAGAGCTTGAATATTAATTTAATTGAATAAGCTATTAACTTTATGCAAAATTTAATTACATGTTGCAAAAAAAAATATTTATGCTAAGTAAAAGAATATAGTCTTGAAAGAGCATGCATTTAGAAACATATACAAAATATGTAAGTACATATGTACATGTGTACGGTGGCGAGAACGGAAATAAGGAAGAGACATTTTTGCAAGTGTTTTGGCTAATTTTCGTTATTCAAAAAATGTTTATTATTTTTTATGAAGATATAGCCTACAATAAAAAAAAAAAAAACAAGTAAATCAAAATTTCAAACTTTGTAGAACATTTATAAAAAAATGCGACGAATTTTAACAAATTGTCAGCAAAACTTGAAACTTTTTAATCCGATGGACTTTTTTTGATTCAGTTTTGTTGCGCATTAAATTTCATTATAACAAAGTGGAAGTTTAAAGTAGCTAGGACTTATCGTTGGTTTTTGACCATTTTTTGTTCGCGCATTTTCTTTCATACAAAGTATGCTCGACAATTCTTTTGTATGGGAGACACCTCCTACAAAAAAAAAAGTCCAAAAATCAACGGTAAATCCTAGATGTGCTCTTAATTTTTACTTTGTTATACTAAAATTGAATGGGCTACAAAATCACGCACTCAGAATGTTTCTAAGAAATCAAATTAAAAATCTCAACATTTTGATGAAAATTTGTCGGATTTTGCTAATTTTTATACAAACTTTGAAATTTTGACTCATACGGATTTTGTCAAATAAAAGTAAACAACGAAACGAAAATAGCCAAAAATGATAAAATAGCTTGTTTTCTATTAATTTTCAATTCTGACAAGTGAGCAAAACAATTTTTTTTACTAAAAAAAACAACAAAATTTATTAAAATTTAAATTTTTTTTCTATGAAAAATACTACTTTTTGAAAGTTAATATGAAGCTTAAAAAAATGGTAAGTTAAAGTGGAGAAAGGCTAATTTCAGGTCTTTCAATAAATTTTATTGCATTCAATTAGTATTTCGTAGGCAAAGTGCATTAAAACTTTAATATTATACTAAAAACAAATTTGGTTGGAACGTATAATTTTAATGTTAAAAAATAGTTTTTCGAAATGTAAAAGTTACTGCGAATCACAATGAATTTTCGTTTGCTTTCGTTTTACCAAGCACAAGATTACTTTCCTTGAAGTTGATATCTTGAAATCTCTTTTTCATAAACCTTGTGATATCTTCTTCATCTCAGTCTTCGTATTACTTTTCCTGTTGTTGTTTTAACCTCATAAAAGTTTCGGAAACAGTTTTGAAATCTATTGGTGTTTTTCCAGATATACATCTAGGGTCTGATTACGTAGTTGCGACTGTCGTGGAAACGTCTTACTTTTCTTATCCTTCTGATGGTTAGTAATTTTTTCTCGAAAAAACTTAGGTTATATTAGGTTTGGTGATATTCCCAGAATCGAGAAACAAACTTATTACCGTGCAACATCTTTCACTTCAAAACTTTTTTAGCCAAAAATTAAATACTTTTTCTATATGAAAACCGTTTTACGTTAGTATGGATAGTATAATTGCATGCTGGCTAGCCATTAAAGGCCTCACATCATCATTACATCAAAAGAAAATCCATGGAGTTGCCAAATACATATAAGTACGATCAATAAACCGTTGCTCACAAACTTCAGGCTTTGGCCTTTTGTCGCAGTCACACCTTGCATGTAAAGTGTCTTTCGAAAGAGGTTTTCTATTTCCGAAAGGCAAATTGCAGATTGCTAGTGCAGCACGAGCAAATTGAAATATATTTCAGAAATCGATTTTGCGCTCTTGCAACATTTATTTCTGAAACTGATTTCCGAAATGTGACAGAAAGGTCTTTCTGTCTGTTCACACATCGAAATAAAATTTGTCTCAGTTTGACAGCGAATTGCGTAAAAACATTGGAAATATTGATCTTCACGTTGTCTCTGCAACCCTGCAGTCCTGCATACGTTTGCCCAACTCCTGTCTGTCTGGTAATACATAAGCCGATCGCTCCTATGTTCATTTGAGATAACACGTCGTCTAAAAACTCCTTCTTTGGCTGCCTCGTTAGCTCTTTCGTTATCTTCAACACATTTTTGTCCTACGTCCTTCCTTAAAAGCTATGTAAACTATCAATTGTTGTAGTCAAGCTCTACTAAAGGTAGGCCCAGGAAATGTACTGCTTCGACGGAGTCGGACCAAAGTGTGTTAAGTGTGTTACTGAGTGGGCTTATAAGGCAAGTGAAGAGGTGCTTGTCGTCGTGTGGCGTGTTGGCTTTTACAAGCCAAGGAGTCCAACCTTTTTAGATGGGCAAACCCTACCTATAACTTTGTGCACTTCCTATTGCATTGTTTTCTGCAGTATATTTTCTGCTTGTCTTGCTGCCGACACTTCAACCTCATCTTTCTTTTAACCATTTTGGAACCGCCAATATAAATGTGTGTCGCATTATGAACCGTCTTCCCATCAACCTTACACCACGCATAAACCGTTATTGGAACTCTAAAAAACTTTTCGGAACTCTCCTATTTTTCCTCGATAATAGTACCACATCGGTCTTCTCATTTGCATAAGCTGTTTCTTCATAATTAAATATTTACCATTTTTTTCATAATTTTCTTTTAGACAAAAAAAAACTAGCATACGAATCACAAGTTAAAATATGCTATTTTGTTCTCTGCTGAAAGTAAATTAAATGCAAGGTAGTATATATAAATCCATGCATACAGATAAGACGTTTTGCAAGTTCAATTAATTATTTCATAAGCACATATAAGAATTTCCTACTTATGCCGATAAATTTAGTTTATTTGTTTGAAAATGTATGTAATTAATTATAATACTCGAACTAAGAGTTTTTGTTTGGTTTTCATTTATTTGGTATTTCTTATCCTTTCAGAAATTGTAAAAACATGCATGTAGCCACATTAAGTTTTAAGTTTATTACATTATTTAATAATTTATGTGTTATTAAAAATATATATAATGCCAACTACTTGTTTAAGCGAAAGTGGAAATATTTTATTTAGTAATTTGCATAGCATATAAAATGATTTAGAACAAAGATGAGAAAAACATTTATTTTTAAATAAATAATTTTTGTCTTTTCAATTTGAAAGTATCAACAAGGCATAACGCATAAGAAAATTTTCCATTATTATCAAAAGCACGCTTGAAGCTTTCGTTCGATGAAAGCTTTACCTAAATGTCGAAAGCGAGCTTGAAGCTTTCATTCAATGGAAGCTTTAGCTCTAGCATTGAGCTTATTGTCGAAAGCACGCTTGAAGCTCTCATTCGATGAAAGTTTTAGCTTTAATCTTCCTGACTATGCGCTCTGCCTTAAACTACTCTATTTTTACGAACAACTTCTTTTTCTATACCTTAAATATGATTTTAACTTAAACAAAGCATAGTTACGAGAAGTTTGAATTGTGAATTTTATTTCAGACTTTACCTTTAACTTCGTTATTTTTTAAGAATTATTGTTTTTATTTAAAAATGCTTAATAAAAAGCGAACGAAAAATAATTATTTACAAAATTTAATTTGCGTTGTTTTTATTTTGTATATCATTTTTTCTTTGGTGACATCTTAGTTTCGGAAAATGTTTTAACTGCATGGTTATGGTTGGAGGATAATGTATGTATGTACGTACATATGAACTATGTATAAGAAGGTCGCCCTCTACAGCAAGCAATTGATCATTTTAACTCGTATTTACTTCCACTTCATCACGTTTGTTTCAATGTTTAACTGAATAAAATGTTTGCAGCTATTACTTCACTACTTGTATGTAATTATTAGCCAATTATGGTCATCACTTCTAAGCTATATGTACATACATATATAAAAAACTTTAGGATGCCATTGTACAGAGAAAGGAGACTGTACTATTCTCTTTTTTGCATGAGTCGAGCACTCGAGGTGAAATGTCTACTTAGAGCAGAACCAGTTGAAAGTAGTGCCGATTGTATCATCATGCCTGCTTCGCCCTTGGAACGATATGGCTGTACATTGTAATCAGGGATGTACCTTTAAGAAATTGCAGAGTTGTTTCACTCACACGCACAGCTACCATTTTGGAGAATTTTGAAGCGAGATTTAGTACGATTTTTATAAGAAAAAATGTTGGTAGTGGCTGGAATGCTAAAATAGTATATTCACATTAGGGTTGCCCAAAGAAAGGAATATCGGAATTTTAATGCTTTCACCCCCTGGGGTTTTTCTATATCGAAGAATAATATGAATCTGTTTATTTTTAATCTAAAATTAAAGTAAATATTCAAATTTAAATTTAAATCGTTTTGTTACCGACCTTAGCATTTTCTAGATGATAAAGCGGAAAACTGAGCAACCCAAAAAGCGTCATATTTTTTTTTCTGTCCATCGCCTTTTCATATAAGAAATAAATATTCTGGACGCAATCTATCAACAATAAACTGTGAACAAAGCATTTTATGATAAAAACTTCAAATGCCTCACCTTACAGCATTATCTTTCGTTGTTCAAAATAATTATTATTTTTAATTTATGTGCATGCGTAGAAAATCAACTACGAGACATTATTTATTCGTATTCTCCCTCGTGATTAAGGGTTAATATTTTTAAAATTCCACAAAAAAAAAACAAATAAAATACTGTAACAAGTACAAGTTTTTCCTTATTACAATCACTTCATTGTGAAACGTGGCCGTTATTTTATTACACATTATACGAGGGCAATTTGAAAAGTCAGTGACTTCTTGAATTTCCTGCGCAGTAACTTTAAACGCAATACTTCTCTTGCCAACCGCCATAAGTTCATAGACTACTCAAAATTTTTGAGTTTGTGTTCGACAGTCATTGAGGCTTTAAGCATCTCAACTCAGTGCATACATCACATTTTATATGAATATTTGGATATGAAAAATCTATCTGCGCAACCGTGTGACCACTTCAAAAGATTTTTTCTGATGTTGAACCGCAATCCGAACGAGTTTTTGCACTGTTCCGTAGCTCTTGACGAAGCATGGATATACCACAACATACCAGAGACCAAGGAACAAACAAGAAGTCCACCAAAGAAGGCCAAAGTGGAATGCAATGAAATGGCTGGGCGGTAAAAGATTTGGGTCGATTGGAGAGGTCATCACTGAAACAACGCTTATTTTGAGAACCTTGAAAAACCTATTATTTGGAAGGAATGACATAAAAAAATGCTGAAGTAAATCGAGCTAAGAGGAGACTATGTTAAGTCATAAAGCGCTTTTTGACGCAAAAA